CCTTCTATTCCTGTATCTCTCTTCCTTTTCTTCTCACTCCTGACCTCTGATCATTTCTCCATCTCCTCATTCTACAGTCAGAATCAAAATGTCTGTCCTAAAGCACTTTGCTTTGTCTCCACATATTTCACAATTGAAGAACATTTGACTTTTTTTCTCGTTCTCTGGGCTTAGCGATCCTGACATCCCAGTTCCTAAGTGTCTTCTTTCTTATTGATTACTGCTGCTTATGTTTACATGCTGGCTATCAAAACTTGGTGCCAAGTATATCTTAAGTCCTCTGGTCCCATTATTTTCTGCTGGTTCTCTCCCTCTCTTCCCCTATCTCCAAACCGGGATTAGCTTTGGTCTGTCTCCAACAACATCAGACATCCTTCTTTTCCAGTACACCCATGCATACCTTAATCTCTCATGCCGATTAGGCAAGGTTAGAAGCAGTCCAGTGGCAGCAAAGAGGGAAGGGCCAGAGGGAGCTGGAACAAGACGTTAAAATAGCATGGATTCAGCCACACCATTGGGGCCTGACAGAATTGATGGTCCACAAAGTAACCCAGAGAGTTCAGTTAGGGGACAAGTGAGAGGCTATCTACAGCTGTACTTCTCTTTTTATTATGCTTTTCCAGAGGAGTCTGTATTCTTTCACTGGTGGCTCGGAATCTCAGAAGGCCTCACAATGATCCAGGCCTCATTCTGCCCTTTGTCACTGTGGGCCAGCAGGGTCACAGAATCCAACAGCTGAAAGAAACCTCAAAGGTCATCTAGCCCACCTTTATAGGAATTTTTTCTACATCTCCAGCCTATGCTTGAAGACCGCCACTGGGGATGGAGGATGTCACTGCTTCCTAACCACTCATTTTCACTTTTGGACAATTCTAATCATAGACATATTTTTCTTGACCTGAAACCAAAGGTAAAAACTTCTCTGCAACTTCTACTCCATACTCCTAGTTCTACCCTTTAAAGCCAATGAGAACAAGTTGAATCCCTTTTACATATAATAGTCCTTCAAACATGTAAAGATTGCCCAAACTTGTCAGACTTCCCCCAAATGTACTCAGATTTGCCAGGTGCTCCTTTAGGTCATCTGAATCCTTCACCCTTTTCCAGACAAGGGAAGAAGGCATCAGTGACTTGCAGTTCCCAAGAAATCCTAGAGACATCAAGATTTGTTTGAGGACCCAATTCAGATATGGACCATGGGTTATTAAGCTTTTTTGTGTCATAGCCCCTTTTGACAGTTTGGTGAGGATCGTGGACTCCTACTCAGAATCATGCCTGTTGCCTTCATTCCTAATTGAAGGTACTACCAAATTTTATTTGAGGTCAGTAATTTTATTAATTGAGGTCAGTCAAATTTTATTAGAGGTCAGTAAAAATAAAGATGTCATTTTTTTTATCCAAGTTCCTAGACTCCCCTAAAATCTATCAACAGACCTCTTGAGGGTTAGTGGATCCCAGGAGGATTCCTTGACATAGAAAATCTTGTAACTGGAAAGAACCTTCCAGGGGTGGGGAATCTGCAGCCTTGAGGCCAGTCCTCCAGTATGGCATTTTGACTGAGTCCAAGTTTTACAGAATAAACCCCCTATTAAGGGGATTTGTTCAGTGAAGTTTGGATTCAGTCAGAGGGCCTCAAAGCCCACAGGTTCCCCAACAAGATCTAGTCTAAACCTTCACTTTACATATGAAAAAACTGCCAGGGTAACTTATCCAGCACCACCTGACTAGTTAGTGGCAGTCATTGGTCATATAGACCTATCCTGCCTGAAGACCAGGTAACCCTGGTAACTCTCATCCCACAACCCTACTAGGGCTTATACAATTAATAAAGGCTCCACTCCCCAATAGCTATAAGATACTTTATTTTAACTCCAGGAAGGAAATGCAATGATTAGGAAACCTGTCTTAGAAGTTGACAACCACACCGCCATCCTCTCTGTATCCCTATGCTAATAGGAATTTTGTCTCATCTATCTTTTGACATCTGGGACCCCATCCCTTGGGATCCCAAATATGTAACACTGAGAAATGTAAGGAAACAACAGTAACAACCACAGATACTTCTTAAGCACCCATTATGTGCAGAGCTCTGGGTTAGGTACTGGAGAAGATACAAAGTTTAGAAAAGACATAGTCTCTGAAACACAATCCTAGAAGAGATTTCATCTTCTGAGCCATGCTTCACAATCTCTACATTTTCCCCCTGGAACTTAAAAACAAGGAACAAAAGTAACTCTTAGCCATAAAGGGGGGAAATGAATCCTTTATTAACTCTCCACCGCTGTCCATATTGCAATTTGTAGTTATGCCAAATGAGGGTAATTTGCATAAATAAATTGAAGTACAGTAATTTACATTTTTTTTTTAATTTGCTCTTAACCTGCCGCTGGAACCTGTCACTAGGAGTCTCTGAAAACTTCCCCTCTCTGTCTCTTAGATACAGAGTGATAATAACCTGTTCTTAGTCGCACCATTTGCATCTACAAATGGAGTTAACCACTTTAGTATCCTACAGCCTCAGAAAATTACAGTCTGGTTAAGAAAGAGAGATGTGAGGGAATGACTGCTCAGTAATTCACCCTGTGGATAGTGTTCATGGAGGCATTACCCCATTAAAACCTGGTCATTTTAAGTAGGCTGAGAGAGTTAGCACTTAAGGTTCCCATTAGAAGGGAAAGGCTTAAAAAGTCCCTGGGTCCAGGAATTCCATAATAGGAAGCTTTAAGGAAATTTACTATGTACACATTCCTTCTAGGTTTCAGTGTTTCCAGAATGGACCCATAAAGAATGAATTAATGAAAGAATGAATGAATGAATTTCAGCTTCTTCAGACTATCAGCAAACTGTTGGCAGATGGTTTCCCAAAATGCTCACCTAAAAAGTTGCCATCAGTAGATACAATGAAACCCAATTCTATCTTTCACATAACCAATGAATGTCATTTGCTGCCAGGCAAGGCTTAAGGGACAAGGAGAATATTCGGGAAGTAACTGGGACCAACCAATATATGAACTAGATTGGAAGTTCTAGAGGACAAGCATCTAATGCCTAGCTCAATATCATACACATTTTAGGTTGTCAATAAGGATTTTTTGATTTGATGACTTCGCTAAATGACTTTAGCAGGTTTTTAAGCTAGTCTCCATTTGGATCACATTGCAGAAGGGGATAACCCAGAGGATAATCAGGCCTTAGAGTAACTTGCTTCTTTTTTGTGCTCCATGCCACTGGATGGAGCCAAGAGAAGGCTTCCCTAGTAATTGGACTGGACAGCCTGCCTCTAAGGTCTCTTCCAGCTCTAATCAATGATTTTATGTTGTTATTCGGGGGGAGCGATTGCATCTTGTTTACTAAGTCCTACTCCCCTGTAGCAGGGAACAGGGAACTTTGCTCTTAATGCTCATCCTGGTTATTATAGAAGAGCTATGTACACCCTGCTCCTTTGGCAACACCAAGTCACTCTGGGAGTCATCAGAGTCTGGCCATCATTTGTTTGGCACTGGAAATCATTGCAAAAGATTTTCTTCATACATTATTAAGATACATAATGAAATGTCCTTTCTGCTGGTGTGTGTGTCTGTCTGTCTGTCTGTCTCCTTGTCTGTCTTTTGGGGCTATGCTTTAGCTTACTGGCTGAATACCAGTGATCCCAGACAAACCAGGAAAATGGATCAACCAGAAATCACCTTGGCAGCCAATCATGATTGTGAAGCAGAAGCCCAAAGTCCAAACTGTGTTTTCTAAATGGCCTGCAGATCCTCTATCTCCTTTCCTTCCTTTGACCTACTGCCACCCCACCCTTGCAAATACAAACAAACAAACAAACAAAACCAAACTATGGAAAGAAAAGGAAAAATCAGTTGAGAAACCTGGTAACAGAGAATTTTGTTTTCAGCCTTTAAAAAAAATGTCTAGCTGGGCACATTTTCATTGTGTAGAAATTCCATCCCATATTTTCTTTCTTTGTACATTAAAAACAAAAACACGAGAGCAACCATCTGAAAGAGGAAGGTAAAAACTAAAAAATGTAACAATTCAGATCTCCTAGAAGGCCTCTGTAGGAAGCCTATCACAGTTAATTTCAGATCCATAGAGTGGGGGCACCTGGTAATCTCTTTCTCCAAAGTAAACTCCAAAGCATTATGGGAAGATATTAGCACAGGAGACCTACCTATAGACCAATTTACTGGGTCCTCTATTGTCAAATGAATCCAGGAGTCAAACCCCAGAGAATGGCATTTAAGGAGTGTCCAGAGGAACCGTGCAGACATGGACCTAAATTCTAGTAACTGAGGAGAGTTATTGCCTAGAAAAGATATCAGCCATCTTGTGTGAAGTCTAAGTTCTGGGGATCAGCACTCTTGAAGGTATAGAAGGGGACTTCTTTCCTCAGATTCCACAAGAATCAATAGATCTCAGCCCTCCTCAAGACGTAGAAGTCCATTGCCCAGTGTTTAAGCTTCTTTGCCTAAAGAGAAGTGGGAAACGATGAGGATAAAGCATAAGCAAAGCTTTCCTCAAGAGAGGAAAGAGAGAGAGCTTTGACAGCCCCATAGCCCAAGCTGTCAAGTATTGAATTGGGAATCAAAGCAAGCAGATAACATGATTTACATGTCTAAGATAGGCTGGGCCAGAGACTAGTCAGTTTATCTAATCCCTAATTAGTGGCTAGACAGAGTCTTGGGGTAAAGGAAGTTCTTCCTAATGCTTGCCCAAGGGGGAGTAAAAGAGAGCTCTAAAATGATAGCCATACCCAGACAACTTAAAATTCCTGGGACAACTTGGAACCTGACAGGCCTACTCTTTCGTGTTTTGTGTTTTTTTTGTTTTGTTTTGTTTTGTTTTTATTTTTTTTATTTTTTGGTTTTTTGTTTTTGCCACTTGCTTCCTTTTGCCCTCTTCTGCCACAGTGTTGCTCCTGTGTTAGCCAAGACCTAGAATACTAGGGCCTCTTCACTGGAGACTTATTACAGCTTATCTCTGTCTGCCTTCCTTTAAAGCCAGCTGAACATACCCAATGCTCTCCCTCTATGGTAAGACCAAACATACAGACCACGCTCCCAGCTTCTGTGACACTCCTAACACACTTCTCACTCTGTTGTCCACCCCAGTCACAAGAATCTCTCTGAGCCCCGAGTTCCCTCTGCATGAACCCACTGTGTCATGTTTCCATACCTGCCTGGTGTCACATGAGCTGTGAATATGCTGTGTGGTGGTGTTTTTACCTTCATATGTCATGAGCTTTCCTTTGGGTGAAGCTTCCCTGTTGTTCTGCCTTTCTAATGAGCTACTAGGAGAGAATAAGACCCAGAGACCATTTCCTGTTAGATACATTAGTAACTCAATTGGCTATGCTATCTAACTTTGATCCCAAATGGAGGGAATAATGTTCCTAGTCCAGCTGGTCAAGAAAACTGAAGAAAAAAATTAATTATTTTAAGCATATTAGGGGTTAATGCACTTATTTGCCTACCTTCTTTTCTAAGGAGCAAGACTGAAAGACGATATATGTCCAACTAAGTGGCATATTGGTCCCCTTTGAGATGTTAAAAGAACAAGAAGGCCTCCAAACATGGTAGAGTACTCCTCTATGCAGAATTTATGAGAGAGAAAAAACAGACAAGAGTAACACTAAGAAAACATGGAGGGATTGCAGTCTGCATCAGAGACTATTAAAACAAAGATCCAATAAATTACTCAAAGTAATTACTTGGTTTCCATTTCCCTTAAGGATCCAGAGAGGAAAAGGAACTTCTTAAACTAGGATTAATTACCAAGGGAGAGTCAGACATTTCTCTGGCTTCTTTAAGACTAGGCTAAATCTCCCTCCCATACCCTGGAGGCATGAGAATGGTGGATTAGATCAGGATGGGGTGAGGGAGCAGAGGGGAGGCTACTTACCTGAGGATCCTATCATTTTCTCCCTAGGGAAAAAATAAGTCATGAGACCTGTTGTTAATCTTTGTGTTTATCTGAGGAATTGCTTCCTATGTAATGTTTACAGATGCACACACTTTGAAAAGGCCAAGCCAATTCCCTGTTCTAGCCTAATACACTAGGCAGTAATACTGAGCATCTAAAGGCGAGACACATTAGGGACTCATTAGGATTAATCAATTCCGCTAAACAGTTCTCCAGTATAGTCCATCCTGGGTCCTATGCCTCAGGTAAGAGGAAACTGACAGAATCTGTGCTTTGGATTTTTCTAGCCCTTGGCACAGAGATGGACCTTTGAAGCCTATTACATCATAATTCATTTTATTAGAAGAAATTACAATGGCCCAAGAAGAAATGTGTTTATCTTACAAACTGAGCAGCATTAGCAAATTATAGCCAACAGGGAGAGTGCTGAAAAATAGAATAGAGTTCATTCTGCAAGGTTTGGTTAGTTTTTTTAAACTCATCAGAATGAGATGCCCCAGTGGCATCAACTTCTCAAACTCCTGACACTCACAGCTGGACCTCTACACTTTTCCTTCCCTCCTGAACATGGTGAAACTGACAACCAACCTACAAAATCTTATGCTTTCTCTTCAAATGCCTCTGGGGAAAGACAACCTCTTTTTGAGAAAAGAATATTGAATTTCAAGCAGATACACAAGTGATAGAAATAGGGATTATAGACATCAAAGACTTCAAAATATACAGGCTAGAGACCTAGGGATATAAGAAAGATTGGTTGCCTACCATCACCCACCAGGGCCTCCTACAGTCCACCAGAGACACCCAGACTATTCGAATTGGAAGGAACCAAAATACCAGAAGAAGAGATGGTGGTTTCTAAACTTACTGTCTCCTGGAGTGGGCCGAATAACTGGGTGGAAGAAGTGTCTTTTCCTGAAGGATCTGGGGAGTAGAACAGACATCCATTTACTGAGATGGTTAAGATATGATCCTCTCCAGAGAAAAGCATAAACACCATTCCATTGTGTCTCCAATTTTTTATTAGCCTTTTATAGGGTCCATTGTCCCATTTTGAGTAAGAGTGAGGGTTAGATACAAATAAAGTTTCTATCCTCCATATATGGAGGCATATATGCCGCCAAGTTATTGCTGGTCAACAAGCCATGAAGTTGGACAAATATTGCCTATAAAGTCTCATGTGCATTTCAGTGCATGTATCTGAAGCTTGCACACAGCTAAAGACTTGCTAGGTCTTTTGCAAACCAACCAGAGGAAACAGTATATTGGTGAGGTCAATAGTAAGACAAACACAGCTGCCCTTGGGCTGATGAGTTTTCCTGTTTTGTGGGAGATGTGAAGAAATGTGGGCTTGGAAGCAACAACAGGAAATCCAGTGAGTCTGTTCTCTCCTGGTCCTGACAGCAGGAGGGGCAGTGGCAGGGGTTGGGTGAGCTGCACTAGTTTGGGGTGGAGGGGAGTAAGGACAGATACACAGACCATTCTTTGAGATACTTCCCACCTGAGCAGAGCAACCAAGCTGGAGAGAGGGAAGAGAGTCAGTTCCAGAAGCAGAGAATGAGTGGGGAACTCACACCTCACTTTCCTGGGCACTAGTTGTCCAAGGTCCTGGGGCAAACCAAACTGAAAGTCCATCCTTCAGCTCACATTGGAGCCACAAACCCTAAGACTATTTTAGTCTTATTTGTCCATCTCTTCCTTCATACCTATCAAAA